GCTGATTTAAATGGGATTTCAGTCCAAGTTTTCTAAGGAGTCTCCACACTGATTTCCATAATGGTTGCACCAGTCTACATTCCCAGTAGTAGCGGAGAAGGGTTCCTTGTTCCCCACAGCCTCTCCAACATTTGTTGTTGGTTGATTTCTTTATGATAGCCATTCTTTCTGGGGTGAGATGATATCTCAATGTTGTTTTAATTTGCATTTCGTGGATGGCTAGTGATGTGGAGCATTTTTTCATATATTTATTCGCTTGTTTAATTTCTTCCTCTGAGAAGTGTGTGTTCATCTCAGATGCCCATTTCTGGACTGAGTCATTAAATTTTGGGTCCCTAGTGTTTTTTAGTTCTTTATAAATTCCAGAGAGCAGACTTTTGTCTGAGTACTTATTTGTCATGATTTTTTCCAACTTTGTGAGTTGTCTTTTCACTTTGTTGGCAATTTCTTTTGACATGCAAAAACTTCTCAGTAAGAGCAGGTCCCAGTTGTTAATTTTTGAAGTGTTTCCCGTATGATTTGATTTTGTTCATAAACTCTTTGCCTACCACTATGTCTTCAAGAGTTCCTCCCACTTTCTCTTCCAGGAGATTTAGTGTTTCTGTTTTAATATTTAGATCTTTAATCCATTTTGACTTTAGCTTAGTGCATGGTGATAGACCTGGGTCAAGTTTGAGTTTTCGGCATGTAGAGAGCCAGTTTTTCCAGCACCATTTGTTAAAGAGGCTATCTTTCTTCCAGTGAGTATGTTTGGCCCCTTTGTGAAAGATAAGGTGGCTGAGTGTGTTCGTAGGGGCTTCAGTGTCTTCTAATCTATTCCATTGATCCTCAGGTCTATTTTGTTGCCAGTTCCATGCTGATTTTATCACAGTAGCCTTGTAGTATAATTTCAAGTCAGGAATTGTAATGCCTCCTGCCTTGTCTTTATTGCCCAGCATTGCCTTTGACATTGGTCTTTCAAGAAGTAAAATTCTGAGTCAAACTACTCACCCCTTATTTGTCTTTGTTGATGGTCTACAATTACATTGTCATTGCCTTTGTAACTTTCCTGGGGTTGCAGCAACAAAGTGCCACACACTGGGTGACTTAAAACAGTGGAAAAGTATTAAATCACAGTCCTAGAGGCTAGAAGATCAAAATCAAATTGTTAGCAGAGCCGAGTTCCCCTGTAGAGGAGAATCTTTCCTTGCAGGCGAGTGATGCCTGGTGGTGGAGGTCTTTGGTCCTCCATATTCTTTGCCTGCGGCCCCCTCACTCAAAGCTCTGCCTTTGCAGCTGGGGAGATGGGTCAGTAGAATAAATGCTTCATTGGCACGTCCAAGGGCCTGAGTTCAATCCCCGGCTCTGCAAAAAACCAAAAAAACAAAAACAAAAAAAACCAAAGCTCTGCCTTTGTCACCACATGATGTTCTCGCTGTGTGCCTCTGCTTTCACACAGCCACCTTGTGGTGAGGACAGTGCTCATATTGTCCATCCTCATTCAGATATTCCTGCGGTGATCTGTTTCCAAGTAACTTGACATCTGAGACACTAGGAATTAGGACTTCAGCATATCTTTTGGGGGATACAGTTCAACCTTTAATTTTAAAAATGATAAGTTTGTATCTCAGAGGGAAGCTTGCCTGTGTCCTAGCATAGTGTCTCATGTGTGTTAGCTTTCCTATGGCACAGATATATGTACACATGCATGTATGCACCATGCATGAGTTGGATGGAGTTCATTCTGTGCGAATATGTATGAGTTGACCCGATCCTTTGCTGTTATGGCATAGTGGTTTCATAATACTGATATCCTCTAAACATTTAATTGATTAGTTAATTAATTAATTTGGCACAGGGTCTTGCTATGCAGCTTGGACTCATACTGATCCCCCTGTGTCAGCCTCCCCAGTGCTGGGATTATAGGCATGTGCCACCACGCCCATTTTTGTTGGCTGATATGGTGTGTGGTATCAGGGATTGAACCTGGGTCCTTGGGCTTGCCAGACAGGTGCTTAGACCTCCAAGCTATCTCCCCAGCCACCTCTAAACATTTTTTTTACAGGTAGACATAAAGGTTATTTTCATTTTTTTGGTATACTACAAATGTAACATTTGGTAAATGGCCATTTTCTTAATATTTAACATAAACATTTCTTCACAGAAAGAATTACCTTTGTTAAAAATAAGATGCTGCTGAATGGCCTCAAACTAGAGACAGTATCAAGTGTGTGCAATAAACGAGGGAGCTTGGGAGAGTGATTGGATTTTCTGGGGTTGGACTCATTGGAGGTAGTGACAGGAGAGAGCACTTTGAGAAGGACAAAGACAAGGGGAAGTCATCGAGTTAAGGGATGAGCAGTGAGTGAGCAGCGATGGAATTTTCTTTCCTCTGAAATACTGGGGAGATGTTTCTTTGCTCATTGATACTTTGAGGGAGAGCAGAATTCAATTTGGAGTGTACAAAGTGATGCTGGCTTTGTGTCAGTGTAGGTGACGTGTGGGTGATACATAGCTGGATTCCACATACCAGGTACAGATAAACATCTGTGTGCATGCATCTTTAAGCTCATGATAACAGGAGCCAGGAAGTGGAAATGGTCTGGCGATACATTGTGCTACTGGTGCCATGGTGAAAGTGGAGCTCTGCTGTAGCTGCCTGGACTCCTGCTCCTGAACAGCGGGGACAGCTACTTGAGGGAAGGAGAGCAGGTTAGGAACTGAGGGGCCCTGGAGAGGCCTCTTCAGAAGGGCTTGCTGAGTCCTGGCTCTAGAGAAAAGTACTGAGACAGCCTGCTGATAGGCAAAGCCAGGTTCTTAGCCCACCCAGGTATAGGGGAGCCCTACCTAGATGGGAGTTCCAGCCTTTCAGAGCAGGGGAGGGAAAGGCAGGTATTTATGAAGTACTGAAATCTACTTACAGCAGGGCTTCAGCGAGGGAAGGGTCTTGATGCAGTGAGCACAGGACAGCCTAGGTTTTGAAATGAGGGTTTCAAAGGGTTATGAGGAGTTAACATTCACTTTGATGCTATCTATTGAAAAGTTAAGCATTTTAAAATAGGTCTTCCCAGACAAGAGATTCTTGAAATGGTAAAGTCATTCTGATAAGGATAATGGAATTTTAATGTCACCTCAGTGAAGATAACAAGCTTTGTGGGTGCGGATGGTTTCAGTTCTCAGACCTACTTTTGAAGATCTTCCCCTTTGGGTTCTGGGAAAGGCCTCAATTAGAAGGTTTCATTTCTCTCCAGGCAAACTCTAACTCAGCTTTAATGTTGTCTCCACCCTTCACGACTGCACCCTTCTGACTGGGAAGGGGCCCCTCATTTCTACAAGAGATTGAGCAGTGTTGATCTGATTGCTCAGAAGCTGACATCTACCAAGCCACAAGTTAAAAGTGTGTCTGTTTGAACCCTTGTGTTAGTGCACTATCTCTGGAAATGAGGCTTCATGGTTTTAGTCCATCCCCCTGCACACAGGAGCAGTCAGGTCTTCCTTCCTGCCTTGCATTGGGCAGAACCTGGCAAGGATTTTCTAAGAAAAGTTCAGCCTTATTCATACTCCCAGATTCATCTTCTTGTCTGTGTGGTGGCAGGGTCAACAGACAATGATCCATTTGAATATATTTAGGTTCAGAGGCAGGAAGAGGAAGATTTCCCCATGCATCCATATTCCAGCATCACTCAGAAGGGAAGCTGCCTGTTTGGTCATGTTGAGTTTTTCTAAGTACATATACTCCATCTCTCTTTCCAGAACACCTTTATGCTACTGGTTTGGCTTTTTAATGGTTTTCTCTTTAGCTAATGGGACATATAGGCCAGAGATCTGAGACTGGGGCAAGAGTGAAAGTGAGGGTTGGGTATTTCTTCAGTTTTTACTTTCCTGGTCTTTGGTTGTCTGATCACATCCTTAAATCAGATGTCACAGCTTCTGTCAAGTCATGTTGTACAACGAGGTCTCTCCTTGTAGAGAGTAACACTTTTCTCCTTTTCTGAGTGAAAAGAGGTACAATAGCCTCAAGATACTGTGGCATTGCTTGGGATTTCCCTGTGCTCTTCTCACAGTTTCTTGTAAATAGTCTTCCTTTTCAGTGTGCCTTCATAGGGATGCAGCCAGGGACAGCACTATCTCCTCACCCTGGAAGGAACTGGCTGAACTCACAGAAATAGTATATGCACAGTGCCTAGCACTTGGTATATTTAAGGGGTTTTTAGTGGTGCTTTTCACCACACTTGTCCTCTGCAAAAGCTTTTGCTGTGCTGGGGGTAGTGATGCTGTGACTCAAACCAAAGGACTTGTGCATGCTAGGCAAGTAGTCTACCACTGAGGTACATCCAAGGCCTAAAAAGTGATTTTGAAACCTGAATCCCTGTGCAAGATATCACCCCAGTGTAAATGTCAAATGAGTAAATGGATGAATACATTTCATTTCTTATAGGTAGTAAACACAAAAAAGGCCTCCCTTTTATTAAATTATACTAAAATGACTCAACAAGAGGGTGCTATCTTGCACCTGTTGGGTTCTGACCAATAGAAGGCTTTGCTAGGTTGGTAGGATAGCTGATGTTTTGCTCCCTAGTTGGTCAAAGCTCCATGACACCTAGCAAGTGTTTGATAAGTATTTGTGGAGTGAATGACCAAATGAGTGAATACTGAGATTTAAGCTCCCTCTCTCTCTCTCTCTCTAGGCATCCAATACAGAGTTGAACATTTCCATGGAAAGCGTATGTGCTTGATGGACTCTGAGGGCACTTATGTTACAGGCATGAGTGCTGTGATGGCCATGTCCCTGACTTTGCATCAGTGCCGCGTGTGCAGGGCTCTACTTCTCAGAGGAGCCATGTGCAGGAGTATCTGGAACACGCAGAGATGATCAAAGTGTGACGCCCACCTCCTGAGGGTTCATGGTGTCCTTAACTCGAGAGCAAATAAAAAGTCCACACTCTGAAATAACAAATGAACATTGACAGATGCCATTTGTTTGTGTTCTTAAAGGAACCATACTGCATGAACTCAAGTCATTACCAATTTCAAATTGTGTGACATTTATTATAATTAATATTGTGTTAAGCATCCTAATATTACAGGAGGTAAACTTGATAAAACTGTACCTATGTATCGGTTTCACAACTGCAGGCTGTAAAGTAGTTGATAACATTTCTTATAATTATAATTCCACTGTGCAAGAGTTAGAAGAACTCCTTCCAATTGTGAGAGGTACTCCATAGCATACATGTTGCTTTAGTTATTCCCTTGGGATGATGCCTTCAAGAATAGAGCTAGGAGAAATATTGGGCAGAATGTTTCCAGGATTCTTAAACATGACCAACTTCAAGGGAGTTTCTAGTTGCCTATTATTTTGTCCCACTTAATTTTCTTTGTTGTGATAAATTCAATAATCTTCCTTCCTGGATTTCCTAGCAGGAATGTGGTCCACATTGATCTGTCATAGTACAGTTCATCTTGACGTAGAACTGTCCCTTTGATGATCTCCAGGGCACACTCTTCCTTTGGAGCTGCATAGCCTGTGTATATCCCAGAAGTTGCCTTCATGGCTGTTTCTGTAAGTGGCAAAGGAAGAGTGGGGTTACCTAGATGAGCTGAGTCTGTGATGGAAGACCGACAGACACCACACTTAATTGTGAGGGCTGCTTCCAATGCTTCCACCTTACAAACCCCAGAGGGAGTGTATGAAGGGATGGCTGTGTTCAGAGCCTGTTTGGCAAAGAGAGGCCTTGAGACTAATAGGAATTAGGGGCTTTCCTGCCTGGATAGAGACCTGTGGTGGCAGGCAGAGGTGATTAGTTGGGGTAGCTGAGTCATGAACCTTGATTTTATGTGGCTGTGGGTGTATCTTGGGGGCCATGACAGAATGAGAATGGAAGTCATGTGATACCCTCATGGCCAGTGAGAAGTTCATTTTACGTGTGTGTGAGGAACCAGAGTGTTGTATGATAGCAACCTACTGACTTGTAAAAGGAAAGATGCAAGTCAGGCTGTCGGTCCATTCTTTCATTAGAAGGACTACTATTGGTTCTTTTTCTTTCCAAGTTTTCATACTGTACAGCTTCTTTCTCTTTCCCTTTCTTTGTTGTTTTACTCTGTACCTTCGCCTATCTCATTCTCTAACATTGAATTACTCTTTATTTTGGACTTTTTGGGGCAGGGTTTCACTATACAGTTGAGAAGTTGTTTTTTTTTTTTTATAGTTTTTTGTTTTTTGTTTTTATATAGTTAAGGTTGGCCTTGAACTCACTTTGTAGTCCAGGCTGGACTTGAACTTGCAGCTAACCTCCTGCCTCAGCCTCCTGAGTGCTTGGATTACTCAGTTACTCTTTAAGTAAAACTTCTTATAATATCTGCTACATTCTTTGAGAAAACCTGTACCAAGTGTTCTCTACATACCTTACTCTATTTCCCATGATGGTAGCATCATACATAACCATTATGCAATGATCAAGAAGTGTAACAGAGTTAGCTAAATTACAAAACTGATTTTTTTCTAATGTCCTTGTTGTACTTCAGGGTTTTGCAAGGGGAACCATACAAGATATATAATTTATAAGATTATTTTATAATAGTCACCCAAAAAGTCATGTACAAAGAGAATGCAGGAAATGTGTGCATACACTAAGACCAAAGAATGTAGGTGAGGGCCTGGATCCCATGGTAACGCCTTAAGTGAGTCCAGCTGGAGACCTAGAGTCCATCATAATGGCCCCCAAAATGTTCACCTGGAGGCCAAAGGCCCATGACAATGTCCCATTTAGGTCTGCTTTATGGATCTGCACTAGGAAGGCCCCGAGTTTAGTGGTGGAGGCTAGAAAGTCTGTGCCAGCAGGATGGAAGGTCTGTGTCAGCAGGCCGAGGAATCTGCACTGGAGCCAGGAAGTGACACTGAAAGTAAAAACCAGAGCTCCCCTAAAAAGCACCACAGCCATCCTCAGCAACAGTGAGGTCCTGAGCTCCTCTGATGATAACTGCTGAGTCTGTCTCAGGAAAGCCAGCACAACAAGCCCCCCCTTCCCCCTCAGGACATTGAACAGTGTACCACCTTCCCCTCCAAGTCTGAAAGCAAGTTCAAAGTAAGAACCAGAGCTTCCCCAAAGTGAACTGCAGCCACCTCAGCAACAACAAGGTCCTGAGCTCCTCCGATAATGAGAACAGCTGAGTTCATCAGGAAAGCCAATATGACAGGCTTCCCAGGAGAACCAATAGCTTCTCTTCTTTTTCTTCAATTCTGCCTCTTATGCTGTGGCAGCAATTCTCAAGTAGGCTTCCCACACCCAGCACCATGCTGGTTTAGTTCAGTTGGGTGTTACAAGTTGATCACCAGTTGTTAATCTACCACAGAATTTAGTAATCTCTTATATTTTCTTCAATCTTTGCCTCTCCTGACCTTTGAAGATTACCGATCAGTTGTTTTGTGGAATGTTCCTCAAATTGAATATATCAATTTTCTCATAATTGAGGTATATTTTTTTAGCAAGAATAGCACAAAAATGATATTGTCTTTCTTAGAACTTACTGAAGGGTTTATATTGGTATGTCTTACTATTATCGATATGATTAAGAAAAATACATATGTATTCAATAAGTCTCATACAGAAAAGTAATGACTACTGAGAGTCCCTGAGGACAGAAGTGATGAGTAGGGTGCCACTCAGCAGACCTGGTTGGTGCTTAGCATGGAAAAGAGGGCCACAGGGTGGCTAGAAATCCCACCAGTGTCACAAGCACTTGAATTTGCAGCCTTGGCCTGTGCATCATTCCCAGGTCAGGAGAGCAGCCTCCTTTTTACCCATCTTGGCCAGCAGGGCACCCTGGAGGGCACTTGCTCCAGTGCCTTCAGCTTACCTGTGTCTACTAAGCCGAGGACACATAGAGTGATTGACACATTGACTCTGTTCACTAAAAACTCACTCCTGAGGGAAGAGAAGAATCCATCCAGAGCAAACTTGCTTGCAGAGTAGGGAGCAATCAGAGGATGGCTTACTTTCCCTAAAGGATAAGTTGAAGAAACGGGTTAACAGTGTATTCCACTTCAGCTTCTGACAGAGCTATGTGTATTGCTTTGTAGCAAGCTTTGTAGAACCCTGTGGAGTCTGTTTGCTCTCTTAGTTTTATTTCTCACCACTCCCCAAGTTATTCTGCTGTGTGGAATATCTGAAGTGAAAACCATTAGGGTATCAAAGACAGAGAGGGTAGAGTGGGCTGAAAGACAGATTACTTCAGAGAAAGATTGGTTAGATTTTTACTAAGCACGGTAAAGAAGCTGGGCTATGAGAGCCAGGCCACCCACAGCTGCTGACTCTTCCACTGCTCACCCAGGAGAGCTAGAACACAGGAGCTCGACAAGTGCCTTTGACGCACTCAGTAAACTGTCACTGATAATGCAAAGGGAACATTTTACTTTTACACAAGGGTATTGAAAATCCCTATTTTTGACTTTTACACATATGTGTAAATGTGTAATATGATAACCTAACTTTTATATGCTTTCCAAGACGAGAGAATAGAAGTGGACTGAGACCTCACAATCTTTGCTGAGCCTTGTTGGAACAACTGCTTTAAAATCCCTCTCTGCTTTAAAATCTGGGTAATCTTCAGGCAGATCTTCATTGGTTGTTTCCCTCCTACAGGTCACATTTTCTCTTCCTGAATGCATAGAGGTTTTGTTCTGTCCCCTGGATATTACAAATAAGGATTACAGCATCTCTGGATTTTGCCATATTGTCTCAGATCCTTGACTTCTTTTTTTTTCTAATTTTTTTTTTTTTTTTTTCGGAACCAGGGATTGAACTCAGGCCCTTGCGCTTGCCAGGGAAGCACTTATTCCACTGAGCCATCTCCCCGGCCCCTGACTTTTCTTTTAAACTGGGCAGTTAACTTGGGTGAAACTTGGTCTCTTGCAGAGGGTACTGTCTGAAACTTCTGCTCAACCATTTGCATCTTAGCATAGCTGTGTGGTGTCTGCATTGCCCTGACAGTTAAGGAACAACAGAGGTTTAGAATGAGATGGAGAATCCAGGGCTTCCTCCGCTTTTCCAAAAGTAAGAAATAAACTAGAGATAATAAATGCCGGCCCTACTCAGCCTGTCCACAACTGTCCCACCTTGCAGAGGGGCCTTGGAGCCATAGCATGGTGCCGGCACGGGGGGCGAGGACAGGCTGACGGGGGCTGGCTCTTTTAGTCTCTAGTTTTTCAGGTTATTTTCCAGTCAAGTCTTATTTTGGGGAACAGGGAGCTATGACTCCTCCCTTTTGAGGCTTCTCCCCTTCATGTTCCAGCTGCCATCATCACCCGAAATTCTGTCTAGTAAAATGTCAATCTAGTAAAAATGTAGGTTTCCATCTCAGACATGGTGTTGATTAGGATGCTTCTAGGTATAAAGTTATAAAGCTGACTTTATAGCTAGTGTGCTTTCTTCCAAATGTTAATAACTCTCTAATTTCTGTCTGGGGTTCTTATTATTTGCCAGTGCTTCAATGGTTATGTGTTTTTTAATTTGTTAAAAAAATCTTTTTATGGATTTATTTATTTGGTGCAGGCTCTCACTACTCAGCTCAGACTCACAGTGATCCTCCAGTCTCAACCTCCCCAGTGCTGGGATTAGAGGCCACCACTCTTGGTTTCTGTGGCTGGCTTGGTGTGCCCGGTGTTCCAGGACTAGCACAGCATGCAGTATCAGGGATAGAACCTGGGTCCTTGCCCTTGCCAGACAGGTACTTAGACCACTGAGCTATATCCCCAGCCCCTGGTTGTGTTTTATATTTTATCAAAGGTTTGTAGTTGCTATCTGAAGAGCCCTGGCCTTTTAGTGCCTTTTCACCATTACTGAAATTGGAGCCTCTATGTTTTTAAATATAATGTAAAGGTGTCCTAAATTAATGATGAAAGGAGTGCTTCCTTATAAAGATGTTGGGAAAGTTGTTTAGCTAATTGGTAATGATTAATTTTTTGTCTTACAATATAAAAAAAAAACTCGATGAAAAATTATGGCAATATGACTTCTATTTTCTTTAATAATAAGACCTGAAGGTGTTCAGGACAGCTGCGGACTCAGATGAAGACACTCCTCCCCTCAAGACTGCCTTTCTTTGCTGGTCATGTGGTATAATTGTGGCTACTGCAAAGCTTAATGAATGGGATTTCCAGGAAGAGACTGATTTCCTGACAAAACAGATTCAGATGGTGTGTAGGTCCTTTATATTGGGCTTATCATTTCTTTTTTAACTTCAGGTGTGATATCTAGAATTATTGCAATCATTTTGTGAACTTGAGGAATAGTTCAACACTAAGGATCATAAACAGAAATGTGGAATGAGCTTAGATTTTTGAAGACATTAAGCTTACCAGACCAGCTCTGGATTTTTTACTGGAGAAATAGGAGCTTCTATTTGTTAATCCAGAGTTAATGGGACTTGGTTACAGTGGAATGCAATATCTGACTGACACAAATATAATCTAACTAGAAAAAGACTGTAGTAAAGGTGAATACTTATAATGTCCTTGGTTGTAAAAGACAGAAAAAAAAAGATGTAAAGGTACAGATTATTTGATTTTATAAAACCTCCATTTACTTTATGTCAAAATAGGATCCATAATAAGATCACTCTAAAGGTAAAGGGCAAATAAATAATAAACAAGAAAACCATTCATGAAATATTAGATGGTCAAAAATATAATATCCTAAATTCTTAACATAAAAATAGTTGATAGATAGAAAATACAAACCTGTCTTTTTAGGAAATTATTCCAACTCCATCCTCAGCCATAAAAACTGGGTTGGGATGTCTCACAGCCAGGTTTCAGGAAGGGTTATGTGACACAGGCTGTCCCACCCCAGGCTCTAATGCCACCAGAAGAATGACTGGTCTGGGGCTGGCCTGGTGACTCCAGCCAGGCTGCGGTACCCACTGTCAGTTGAGTAATGAATATGTAGTTCTTGCCTCTTGTTCTCCAGCAGAACCCTAATTGAACGCTTATTTCTACCTGTTGCATGTACTACTAGTATTCTCCCACATGTCCTCTTTTTTTTCTTCCATAATGGAGCTCCTGACTTGCATCTAGGTTCATGGTTCTCCAGAATGAAGTTCACCTGTCACAGCTCCCTGCAGCACATGTTGCCAAGTGACCAAGTCTTGTACAGTGGCGTCTGGGCAGAATTGCATTGTGTAACTTCTGGGTCATGTTCTTGAAGGGAAAATTCAGTGCTCTGAACTCCTTCCTCCTTGGTGTCTGAAAGTGGCTATGATGGCCATGGCCAGAGCAACTTGAAACGTGGGAGGAGTTGCATGTTGAGGATGATGGAGTATCAAGACAGAGGTGGGTTATTTTGGAGTTGCAGTACTGTACTGACTATGCCGCCTACCTTCAGACTTGATTTACCTTCAACCTAGTTTGACCCACATTATTTTAATTTTCTGCCCCTGAGAGCTGGATTTAATCCTCAATATATATATATTATTTTATTTTTTGTGGCCAGCTTAGCCCACCCTGGGGGCGGGGCTAGTGTGGCATGTAGTGCTGGGGATTGAACCGCCATCCCTGTGCTTTTGCCTAAGCTTGCCTAAGCAGGCACTTTAGACCACTGAGCTATCTCCCTGGCCCTTAATCCTTACTGACACTCCTCACCTCTATGGCTCATATGCCCACGGAAATCTAATAGCATCTCTAACTCCAGGGTAAGCTTGAAGCTTGTAACCTTGTAATCTCATTTTTTTAAACTCATGGTTGATATAGGAATGAGCACGTAGACCATTTTGGACTAACGAAACTTGAAGAGATTTTATTGGAATGTCTCAGAAAGTTCTTTTACTCTTGGGAGTGGTTTTGGGAGTAGTAATCCTTGTTGTGCTGATGAACATCTTTGTGCATGAATATGGGGCCTAGAATCACTGCAGTGAGCTCATTGTCAGCCTGAGGACAAGGCCACATATGGAAGAAAGCAGGGCCACAGGACTCATGGGACATGGCGTGGGAGCCAGATGAGGTGTGCAGCCTGCTCCACATCTGGATTTCCAATCATCTCAGTACTTTTTCTTATTGTGGAAGCTAAAATTAGATACAAATTATTTATAGGAACAGCACAGTAGTTAAAAGTATGAGCTCTAACATTAGATGACCTGTAAATCCCAAATATGCTGTTTCTTAGCTATAATACATGAATAATAGCATTTCTAAACTGAAATACTTATCTAATATGCTTTTTTGTTTTTATTATTATTATTTGTCTTTTTGAGACAGGATCTTACTATGCAGTTCAGGCTGGCTTTGAGCTCACTTTGTAGCCCAGGCTGGTTTCAACCTTGGAATGATCCTCCTGTTTCAGTCTCCTCAGTGCTAGTATTACAGGTGTGTACCACTATGCCTGACCTACTTGTAATATACTTAACACAAGCTCTGGCATATAGAAATCATTCAGAGAATGCTATACTTCTTAGCAGTGAGCATTCCAATTGGTGAGAAAAATGTGAGCTATTCAAAAGATCACTTGGCTGAGGGCCCATGGATCCTGAATAGATACAGAGCACGGGCCCGGAGAGTGAGAGAGATGACCCGGGGCTGCGGGATCCTGAATAAACCCAGAGCACAGGCCCTGTGAGTGAGTGAGATGACTGAGAGCCCATGGATCCTGAATAGACCCAGAGCGCAGGCCTAGGGAGTGAGTGAGACCACCCAGGGCCCACGGATCTTCATTCAACCCAGAATGCAGGCCCAGAGAGGAACCCTTCAGCAGAACTCCCTGCAAAGAGGCTAGAGGCAAGACCCACCCAGCTGATTCAGGAGCA